CCATCCAGCAGGCCTTGACGGAGCCACCACCAGGGTGGAAGTCACTATAGTTGCACATCAGTGAAGTAGTGATTCTCTTTTCATGTACACACATTTACAATTCAAAGGTAACTTCTTTTTTCTTTCACTATATTTTCCCACTATTTTTTGGGCACATTCAAAACAAAGAAGTCTTAAGAGGTTGCATTCCCTTTGGGGAATACATAAAATGCAGAGAGTGGTGGGAGCTGGGCCCACCCAGTTGGCCAATGGTTCCCACACATCCACCCAAGGCCCAAGTTTCTGATTAGGGCTTGACAGTTGGGTCAGTGTTCCAGTTTCTAAAAGAACTGGAAGCATTCCATCCAGAGAATGAAATGCAGCAAACCCTGTGAAAGCATGTAGGCTTTGCTTTATTCATCGCCCCGTCACTTTTACCTCTTGGAATTGTAACTTGCGTGTAAGCCCCTTCAGAAATCCTGTGCTTTCTAGTTCTTTAGGCTTCATCTCTGTTCTCAAGAAATTTAGTTTTGAATGAGATTTCTTTTGTCGTTTTTTCATTGATTTCATAGTGGAGAACCATTGTTTGGCTGCCTCTTGTGCACCCCCTACTTAGAGATTGAGACTGCAACCCAGGCATGTGCCCTGACTGGGAATCAAACCCTTGAACTTCTGGTTCATAGGTGGACTCTTAGCTACTAACCACGGTGGCTGGGCTGGGATAACATTTCTTTTTTAGGTGAAGACGACGAATACCACCCAGTTGAAAAGTTGGTTGTGCTGTCTTCTTTTTCCTTGGCAAGCTGAGGATGTACCTGTTTATTTTAGGGCACAGTGTCTGAGGCCCTCAGAAGCTGCTGAAACTATTACCCCAGGAAAGCAGCAGCGCTCAAATGTCTGTCAGGTCTTAGCCTCTTCAGTGAGCCATGACTGGAGACATTTCCTCCCCGTGAAGTTGAACGTGAATTGCTGGTGTATGTGAGAAAAACTGTGAGCAGGCAGGCAGACACACAGGAGGCCTACATAGACCCAACAAGGCCAGAGTTGTTCATTTATACTCTGGCCAAAATGTATAATTGAATTACAACATGGGAATATAACTTTGCTAACATTTGGAGAATGCTTTTCTACCAGGAAGGGGTGGGAGAGGATCTCTAGAGGAAATTCTTTTCTTCATATATCATAATTTTTCACTGAAAAACTATTTAAATTGCTCTCAGTCCTGTGTTAATGCTGGAAAACAGTTGAGCTGTATGGAACATTTGAACCCAACTTCTGTCTTCCTATGAGTTATGAGTCATAAATTGTAGGGGCATAATGGAGTGTGCCTCAGTTCCACTGAGGGTGACAGGTCAGTGGAGCTGGGGTCCCTCCACATCCTCCCCTCTCGCTTCTTTGGGTCTTACTTCCAGGAGTACTCTCCACCCTCTCATCTCCTGTCATTGCCCCTCTTCCAAATTTTCAGTTTCCTTCTCCCTGTTGGCCCACCCCTTGACCTTCCCTTGAGTGAAGGCAGGTGAGCTCACACCTGGTCAAACACAGCCTTTCCACGAGGCCAGGGCAGAGGCTGTGGGACAGGCCACACTGTGTCTGGGTGCTTCAGGACCAAACTGTTCTTCTGTGTCTGGCAGGTTTTCTGCTCTGCAGGTTGCAGGTCGGTGGGGCAGGTCTTTTGGGGCCTGTGACGGCTGGAGAGCTGGTCACCAAGAGGTAATCTCACTGAAGTGCAGAATTGGGGCACTCTTGGATGCCCTAAAAATGATAGGTGTGATGGGTGCCTGCACTGTACTTGCAGACCTGTGCCAGGAGGGGCAGCTGGTCTTGGAGAGTCTTTCTCCCACCAGGAGGCATGCTGGCACCTGGGAATACCTGAGGTGCTGGCTGCACCCCCTGACTCTGCGCCTCTCCTCCAAGAGGGTTTGAAGTCACTCAGCTACCCACAGGAAGCAGGCTGTGTTGTTCAATGGGTTTAAGACTCAGTAATATCTTGCTGAGGCCGTGAACAGTCACCAAAGCCTGGGAGCTGGGCTGCATATTCTTGATGGATTTGAGTGTGGTTTTGCATTTCCTTTGGCTTGACAGCACAGCTGTGTGTATGATATAGTAACATCTCCAGACAGTTCTTATAGAATCTAACTAGTGTGAGAGTCAGATATGGGCAACTCTGGTTACAGTGTTACCTGGTAAATGAGCTGGCTCATTCAAGGGGTAAGGTTTTATGACTTGAAACGTTCCTGTGAATATAAGTCATTCTTTGTGGTCTCTTAGTGTTGATTTTTCTTGGTTAAGTTCCTAGGTTTGTAGCACAGTAAACATACAAGTCTTGTCATTGGAATGCCCAGTAAATAGGGAGAGATTGGAATATGTGCACACTTAACTACGTCAATCCCTTAGCATGTGGCTGGTTGTGGAGCAATGGACAAGCCTGGCAGTTTACCTTGAAGGAGACAGGAGCTGGTGGCCAAGTTGCAGACAAGCAAGTTGAACAGTTCTGCTGATTGAAGGGCTATGGTCAAAGTCCTTTCCTAGTGGAAAACTTAAGAAAAAAAATTTTTTTAATTGATTTCAGAGAAGAAGGGAAAGGGAGAGAAATAGAAACATCCCCCAGACCAGGGACCCAGGCTGCAATCCAGACATGTGCCCTGAGCAGGAATCAAACTGTGACCTCCAGCCGAAACCGGTTTGGCTCAGTGGATAGAGCGTTGACCTGCGGACTGAAAGGTCCCAGGTTCGATTCCGGTCAAGGGAGTGTACCTTGGTTGCAGACACATCCCCAGTAGGGGGTATGCAAGAGGCAGCTGATTGATGATTCTCTCTCATAGATGTTTCTAACTCTCTGTCCCTCTCTCTTCCTCTCTGTAAAAAATCAATAAAATATATTTTAAAAACTGTGACCCCCTGGTTCACAGGTCGATGCTCTGAGCCACGCTGGCCGTGCCTAATGACACACTTTTAAACGAGCACAAAAGCTCCAGGGTGACCCTGATAAAGCAGCAGTCTCATGTCACATCCTTCTCCAAGCTGTGGAGGCTCCTTTGCAGACAGGACCTCATTGCATAATAGAGCTGTGAGCTAGGGAATCTGAGTCTCATCTCCCACTCCAAGTGAGGAGGCAATGAAGTGTCCACTTTCTGAACTCTGCTCCCTTCTAGCAGCTCTTCCATATTTCAAATATTTGCCTTTCTGTTGATCCAAGAGCACTTTTAAAATACAGCTCTGTTCTTATGCCATCTCCCAGTCTGTCTTGTAAGCTGTCACTTCACATTCCTCCTCCCTGACATTGCCTCTCCAGGCCTTTGATCTTAGGACATCTTTCCTGGCCCTTCCCTGAGCCCTCTCTGCCCACCCCACCCCATCTTGCAGTGTTGCACATTTGTGCCACTAAGAACAGAGACACAAGTTATAGCCAAGTATGGCCTCTGCTCAGTTAGAAAGTTGCCAGAAAGAGCAAATTTGATTTTAATATGATACAATCAAATGGATATTAAATACTTAAGTTGTTCAAGTCACAGTGGTAGGTCAGTGAATATAGCCATGAATGACAGGGAGTTTCAGGCCAGCTTCTCCCAGTGCTTAAGGAGGGGACAGTCTGACAAAGGTTACAGGCATGTAATGCCTGTCCAGGGACAGCAGGAACCCCAGAGCCTGGTCGGTCTGAGTTATAATAGCCTCCGCAGTGAGGAAGGGATGTCTGGGCCAGTGGCTGTCTGCCTAGTGGCCTTTTGTAAACACAGCCACTCTTCCTGCAGCATAACAGCCTGAGCCTCCATCTCATTGTGCTGGGTCCCTCCACATCCTCACCTCTCCCTTCTGGTCTTACTTCCAGGAGTGCTCTTGCACCCTTGTGCCCTCAGACACCCTCTCATCTGCCATCTCCCCCCTCTTCCAAATTTTCAGTTTCTTTCTCCCTGTTTGCCTACCCCTTGACCTTAAAAACAGCTGCCTCTGCCTGCTCCACTCCTGCCTCCAATAGGTCAGGTTATGTGGTCATCCTCCCCTCACCCCATCTTTCCTCGTGGTCCACAGCTCTACAGAGTGAACTCACTGCCCTGTCCCCTTTTGTCTCCTCTCTGCTTCTTCCTGCTTGATCTCGCCCATCTGACAGAGCTTCTTTGCCCCAAATTGATCTTCTCATTGACCTATGTTCCTCTTGGAAAGCTTCTGCAACTGTCCTCAAATAGGAGAAAAACTCTGGGGTCAGTTTCCCAGACAGTGGTCCCTCTTTGCTGCCTTCTCAAAGCCCATCTTCTCATTAAGCCCCCTCCCTTACTGTACCATCTGCCAAAAATACCTTGTTTTCTGCTGGGCTCCCTGTCTGCCTAAGTCTGTCCTTGAAGAGCCATCTCTTCCATGAGCATCTCTGATACCCACTCCCTTGGTGGGAAGAGTCTGATTCCTCTGACCTTTGTCCACTCTACCTGCATCTCCCCGTGGTGATGTAGTTATCCCACAGCAATTCTGTTCTCTGCTGCCCATGGGTCCTTTAGCCTGTCCTTTCCTTCTCACATGGACCAGAGCCCTAAGCGCAAGTCCATGACTGCTGTAGGCAACATGGGGCATTGTAAACAATAGGCATTCGGGAAGTTTTTAATAAATGATTTTTTGGCAGCCCTCCCATTCTCTCAGGGCAGATCACCTGATTCCAATTTTAGCATTGCAGATACCACTCTCCCATAATCAGCCTGGGGGTGAGCTAGGTCCCAGCAAGCTTCTCTGACTTCCACCATTCTTCACTGTTTTAAGTTTAGGCTTATCTCCAATCTCAAAGTTTTTTGAGAAACAATTTAAGATTCAGGCCCACCATCAAAATTCTTGTATGTCTTGACACGTGCTAAACAATCTATGGTTTAATATAGGTTAGACTCTTACCATCAGGCATCTAAGGACATGTAGCCAACTGTGACCATTCTGGACTTGTCTATGGCACCCCCACCGTCAAAGGGAGATGAATGTCACAACAGCTGGAGGAGGTGGGAATGGAAGTTGCTGGTGGCTTTGAGATGACCATGAGCTTCCTGCAGGAGATGGCGGGCCGAGCGCTGAAGCAGACGGGCAGCAGGAGCATTGAAGCTGCCCTGGACTACATCAGCAAGATGGGCTACCTGGACCCCAGGAAGGAGCAGATTGTACGAGTCATCAAGCAGACCTCCCCAGGTGAGCTGAGACCTGTGACTTGTGAGTGAGGATGGTCGGTGATTTAAAAACACAAAAGGTGGGAAGGGGTGTGCAGGAAGTGGTTAACAGAAGAACATACATACGTCTATGCACACAGACAGTAGTGTGGTGAAGGCCTGGAGAGGGCGGGAGTGGGGTTAAAAGGGGGACATGTGTAATATTTTCAACAATAAAGATAAATTTAAAAATAAAAACATAAAAGGGGAGGTCCAGTGTGGCCTTGATCAGCAGATTGCCTCTGGGCACATTGCCAAGTGTCTGTAAAGGGTGAGACAAGCCTATCCTGCTCTGACATTTGGGCCCCAGAGGGGGGGGGGGGAAGCAGAGAGCAGGAGTAGATCATGGGACCTACCTCCCATCTGAAATAACCTGTGGCACTTCCTATGGGATGGGAGGTACTTGTTTTGTTTTATAAAACATTTAAAACTCACTGGGTATTAAAATTAGGCAGAGTGAGAATAAAAATGTTCTTTTTATTTTCTCTCAGGCCTGTGGAGGGGTCTTTCAAAAGAGAGGCTTATTTCACTGATTCTAAAACACACAGTTTCTCATGCTATGAGAGCTGCTGCCCAGCGGCAGAGGGTGGTGGTGCTGCAGAGGCCAAGAGGCTCTAGCAGCAAACACTTTGGAGCAAACACAGCTTCCCTGGCTGTCAGTGATATCCTCTTCCAGGATGGAGCAGATGGGACAGTTTCTTGTGCCTAAGATCCCTGAGTGTGATAGGAACTCAAGATACTTAGCAATGGAGTTTCCCCTATTTTGTGGGGTGAGAATTGTACAGGCTTTGTAAGCTGTTTCTTTGCTGTTAAGAGGACACAAACTGTTTTCTTCTTTTATAATATGTTTTATTGATTTTTTACAGAGAGGAAGAGAGAGGGACAGAGAGCCAGAAACATCAATGAGAAACATCAACCAGCTGCCTCCTGCACACCCCCAACTGGGGATGTGCCCGCAACCAGGCTACATGCCCTTGACTGGAATCGAACCTGGGACCCTTCAGTCCACAAGCTGACGCTCTATCCACTGAGCCAAACCAGTTAGGGCTGTTTTCTTCTTGACAGAATGAGTTTCCTTACACAGTGCCCTGCTGGTGCTTCATCTGCCTGGTCTTGTCTCAGAGCACAGCTTCCAGGAACCGACCCAGGGCCATGCTCTAAGGGGATTTTCTTCTACATTGGCCTTTGGTATTTGCTCAGTAGTACAGGAAACAGCAATGTTTCACTGTAACTTTTGCCTGATGTGGTGGCTGTGGAGGGTCTTGGTTTTGCCAGGGATTTCTGTGAGGACTCCCTGTGGGCAAGGCAGACCTTTGATTTAGGGGCAGCCTGGATCTGCCCCAGCAGAGTTGAGCCTTGCCCAAGTGCCTTCATTCATGGAAGAGCCTGAAAGTGTTAAAAGCCGCTGGACAGACCTCTCTAATGCCACTTCTGTTCTTTCTTTCCTCTGCAGGGAAAGGCGTGGCGTCCACCTCTGTGCCACGGAGGCCTAGCTTTGAAGGAGGAGGAGATCCCTTCCCCCCCTATCATCCGATGCGTGGGGCCTATGAGGGTAGTAATGTACTGGAGGAGGTGCCCCGAGAGTACATGGACTTTCTCTTTGCCAGTGTCAGTCCCCACAGCACGCCTGGCGGCCTCCAGCACCAGTCCAAGGGCTACTCTGCAAGTTTGGAGACTTCTGGGATGAACTTCCCCATGGCCGGGCCTGAGGGCCAAGGCGTCCTGCTGCAGGGCCCACACTACAGGCCACATCTGCTGGTGCCCGGGGCATCCCCGGGCTACGGCATCCAGCGCAGCCCTTCCTTTCAGAACAAGGTGCCACCGGACACTACAGGGTATGCCAGTCTGGCTACCAAGGGCCTGGCTGGGCAGCCAGGGGCCAGCCACCCCTTCCCAGTGGTGGGGGCCACAGCAGGTTCATACATGTCGCATCCACACCACAAACAGGCCCCGCAGATGCATGTGATGGCACCCCCACAGAGCCTGCTGGCCCCCTCCAGGAACAGCCTCAATGTGGACCTGTACGAGGCCAGCAGCACCCCTGTCCAGTCGTGGCCGGTGCCCACGCTGACCCGGCGAGACTCTATGCAGAAGCAGGCGCTGGGGCTGGAGGGCTCTGTGCCCAGCAGAAGCAGCTCCTTCAGTAGCCACCAGCAACCTGTGGCCACGGCTTCCCCCAACACCATCACAGCAGTGACAGCGGCCCACATTCTGCACCCAGTGAAGAGCGTTCGTGTGCTCCGGCCGGAGCCGCAGACGGCTGTGGGGCCCTCCCATCCGGCTTGGGTGCCCACACCCGCGCCCGCGCCCACTCCAGGGTCCGAGGGCCCCGATTCCACTGATGAGCAGCCTCCACCCTTGGTGGGCGTGGGCCCCTACCCTCGGGATGTGGATGTGAGGTGCCCGCCCCCACCCTACCCTAAGCACCTGTTGCGGGGTGCTGTCGAACAGGTGGACATGGATTGCCTGTGTGCGGGGGTGGAGCAGCAGCTGTGGGGTACCCCATCTGAGCCCCCCAACAGGGGCCACAAAGGTGCCAAGGCAGACCGAGCTGGGAAGGATAAGAAGCTGATCCAGACCTCTCCCGTTCCGGTTCGCAAAAAGAGCTGTGATGAGGAGAAAAGAGAGTCTCGAATCAAGAGCTACTCACCTTATGCATTCAAGTTCTTCATGGAACAGCACGTGGAAAATGTCATCAAGACCTACCAGCAGAAGGTCAACCGCAGGCTGCAGCTGGAGCAGGAGATGGCCAGAGTAATTTCTCCTTTCAGTCTTCCTAAGCTCTTAACAGTAGAAACCCTTTTCTTTCTGTTTTATGCACCTTTGGTACCAACCAGTCATCCCCTGGGCCTGGTCTGGTTATGAGGGGAGGACTTGGAGAAGTTACAGGTGCTCCAGCCTCCCTTTCTCTTTCCCTGGGCTGCAGGGATCAGGTATGGCTGTACACCATGTACCAATGGGAAATTACCATGGGTTTTTATGTGTTTTATCATTAGCCAAGTTCATTAAGTTTTATTGACTAGTAACAAAATACTTTGGGAAGAGTAGAAACAAAGTTTGAGGGTATATGAATTGAAATTGTGGGATTTATAAAGAAAAATATATCTAATAGGTAATCATTTATCCTTCCTTTAAGTCTATAATTACCAAGTAATATTTTGTTTTTTTAAAATATGTTTTTATTGATTTCAGAGAGGAAGGGACAAGGAGAGAGAAATAGAAGCATCAATGATGAGAGAGAATCATTGATAGGCTGCCTCCTGCATGCCCCCTATAGGGGATCGAACCCGTAACCCAGGCATGTGCCCTGGAATAAAATTTTGATATCCTGGTTCACAGATCAATGCTTAGCCATTGAGCCACACCAGCCAGGCAGCAAGTAATGTTTTAAAGAGACCTTACTTGACACAAAACTGCTAAAGGAGGTAATTAATGAAACTGTTTAAATTAAATGTTATAGTAAATTAAATCAGTATGGTAAATAAACCAATAATTTCAGGTTCTAAAACTAAAATTTGTACTCTTTCTGCTCTCCCATTTTCATTTTTTTTTTTCATTTTCTCTGAGCTTTTATTAAAATACTAATGGTCCGGTGCACGAAATTCATGCACGGGACAGGGGGGCAGGGCAGGAAGAAGGGTGTCCCTCAGCCCAGCCTGCACCCTTTCCAATCTGGGACCCCTCAGGGGATAACCAACATCCCTCTCACAATCCAGAACTGCTGGCTCCTAACCGCTCGCCTGCCTGCCTGCCTGATTGCCCCTAACTTCTTCTGCCTGCCAGCCTGATTGTCCCTAACTGCTCTCCTGCTGGCTTGATTGTCCCTAACCACCTCTGCCTCAGCCCTGCACCCGGGACCCAGGATTCCCCCCTCCAGCCGACCACAGGCACCCGGGATCCAGGCTTCCCTCCCTCTGGTCAGCCATAGGTGCCCAAGCCGGCTACAGCCGGAGGGGAGGGTGGGCAGGTGGCTTCACCTGGGCTGTAGCTGCAAGTGCTGGCGCCTGGGACCATGGGGTGGGTGGCTTCTCTGTCTTTCCTGGGATGCAGTGTGGGCAACTTCTTCTGCTGGCTGTGGCCTGGGATCATGGGGAAGGCAGCTTCTTTGTCTCCCAGGCCGCACCCAGTCTCAGGCACTGGGGCCCAGTTTCTGTCTCCCCTAGGACGTGGGGCAGGTGGACATGAGGCTTCTGCTGTTGGCTGTGACCTAGAATCACAGGGCAGGCAGCTTCTTGGTCTCCCTGGCTGCAGCCAGCCTCAGGTGCTGGCGCCCAACCTCTCTGACCCCCACAGGCCTAGAGTGGTGGTGATGGTGGGGGCGGGCCAGGACTTCTGCCATGTTTTAGGTTAATTTGCATACTTGCTCTGATTGGCTGTTGGATGTAATGGAATGATGGTAATTTGCATGTCTCTCTTTTATTAGTGTAGATTAGGTTGCTGCCTAGCCAGTGTGCTCAGTGGTTGAACATTAATCTAAGAACTAGGAAGTTAGGGTTCCATTCCCAGTCAGGACACATGCCTGGGTTACAGGCTTGATCCCCAGTAGGGGGTGTGTAGGAAGCAGCCAATCAATGATTCTCTTTTATCATTGATGTTTCTATCTCTCGCCTTCTCCCTTCCTTTCTGAAATCAATAAAATATATACATATGTACTTTATTTTATTTTAAAATTAGGTTTCACCTATAAACAGTTGCTGCCAAAATGTTAAATAAATAAATAAATAAAATAAGGTTGCTCTTAGAGTTCCAGGAATTTTGTGGTCCCTTTCCCACAGATTTTTGCTCAAAGAGATTTCCTTCAATTTTTAAGGGCCTAAAGTCACCAAGAGAGAACTATTTTGTCTTCCCCTTGGATTCTGGATTTGTGTTTGTATATGGATATAACGAACAAAATGGATTATTCTCTTGCTTAGAGTATATTGGATCCATTCTCCTGTCTTCTCATTTCTGTAGATCAAGGCAGGGTCCTCTCAGTTCTAGGGCATCTTCCACCAGCCATTTTCTGTCAGGGTTCCTCAGATATGAACCTTATTTTCTCTCTGTGCAGGCTGGACTCTGTGAGGCTGAGCAGGAGCAGATGAGGAAGATCCTCTACCAGAAGGAGTCTAATTACAACAGGCTGAAGAGGGCCAAGATGGACAAATCAATGTTTGTGAAAATCAAAACATTGGGGATTGGTGCCTTTGGTGAAGTGTGCCTGGCGTGTAAGGTTGACACTCATGCCCTATACGCCATGAAGACCCTGAGGAAGAAAGATGTCTTAAACCGCAATCAGGTGGCCCACGTGAAGGCTGAGAGGGACATCTTGGCTGAGGCCGACAATGAGTGGGTGGTCAAACTCTACTATTCCTTCCAAGACAAGGACAGCCTATACTTTGTGATGGACTACATCCCTGGGGGAGATATGATGAGCCTGCTCATCCGGATGGAGATCTTCCCGGAGCACCTGGCCCGCTTCTACATTGCAGAGTTGACTCTGGCCATCGAGAGTGTCCACAAAATGGGCTTTATCCACCGAGACATCAAGCCAGACAACATTTTGATAGATCTTGATGGTCACATCAAACTGACAGATTTTGGTCTCTGCACTGGATTCAGATGGACTCATAACTCAAAATACTACCAGAAAGGTACTGTCGTAGACATACCATACCTACTTTGCACATCTAGACACAACTGAGCCATTTAAGGCAACTGTTTCCTGCCCTGGTGGCTCCTAATCATTATGAACTTATCTGTCACTCCCTCCTATATAATAAAAGGCTTAATATGTAAATCCCCCTTCCCCTGGGGGGAGTTCAACCACTCGCTATGACATGTACTGACCACCAGGGGGTGGCACGGAACAAAAGAAGGCCCTGGCCGGCGGCCAGCTGCCAGGGGAAAGAAGGCCCCGATCGGCGCTGATCACCGGCCAGCCTAGGGACCCCATCTGTGCACAAATCCATGCACCAGGCCTCTAGTTATTTTATAATTTGGTGTGGCATCCTTTTCTCTCTAAAGATGTGTGTGAGTGGATTTAAGTTTTACTATGATATTTTTAGGCCAATAGGCTATGAGATGTCTGGGGCCTTTGTTAGGAACCATTGCTCCGCCCCGTTAAAATGAGCCCTAAAAAGTACCGAATTTTCCGGCATATAAGACAACCCCCTAATTATACAGTTAAAACATAGGTTTAGCCGAGACCGGTTTGGCTCAATGGATAGAGCGTCGGCTTGGGGACTGAAGGATCCCGGGTTCGATTCCGGTCAAGGGCATGTACCTTGGTTGCAGGCATATCCCCAGTGGGGGGTGTGCAAGAGGCAGCTGATCGATGACTCTCTCTCATTGATGTTTCTAACTCTCTATCTCTCTCCCTTCCTCTCTGTACAAAATCAATAAAATATATTTAAAAAACAAACGAACATAGGTTTAGGCCTATATTCGCTATATAAGACTACCCCCCACTTCCGAGGCAACACCAGTACTTTTTTTAATAGACCACCTCTCTGACTCTGGCCAATCTGAGCAGGCTTTTTAATAGAACACAGTATACTGAGCAGGCTTTTTACTAGAACACAGTACACTGAGCAGGCTTTTTACTAGGACACAATACATTGGCCAGAGTCAGAGAGGCGGTCTATTAAAAAAAGAACTGTTGTTGCCTCGGAAGTGGGGGGTAGTCTTATACAGCGAATATAGGCCTAAACCTATGTTTTAACTGTAAAATTAAGGGGGGTCGTCTTATACGCCGGAAAATACGGTAAGTTTTACATACTCCTGAGGAGTCCTTATACAGCTGGCCTCAGGCGTTCCACACTATCTGAAGTACCTGCAGTATCTGTAGGTGTAGGTATGGATATAGGTATGATCATAGTTTAACTCTGGGTCCTGTAGTTCTGCTATTTTGAAAAAAACAGCTGGCCATTATTTATGGCTTGGATTCTTAAAGTAGTTATTTTAATACCATAGTTCAGGCTTCAATTTCTTATTTTAACTTGAAACTAATCCTAAGCTATTTAATTTATTCCCATTTTCTGGCATTTAAGTCATTTTATTATCACATTTTTAAAATCTTCTTATGCTAAAAAAATAAAATTGATACTTGTCAAAAAAAATCTTCTTATGCTTTTCCATGCTTATCTTAAAGCACATCCTGTCGAGACTGACCTGAGATGGGTGCAGAGTTCCCTCAGTTATTCAGGCCTCTAGTGCAGCCTGCAGCTGCTGTTTCTGCCAAGGTGCTGTGTTCATTTCACATGGGATCTCAGACCTGGGATCAGGCCACCCTGCTGAGCAGTTGGACAGGGATCTTTAGTGTGTCAGGAGCTGAATTGAATTACTCCTCAGTTTGAAGCTATGGGTTTGTTGACTAGTGAATACTTTATTTTGCATTTCTTCTTTTGCTTCCCTGATTCCTGGTGCAAAAGGGAGCCACATCAGACAGGACAGCATGGAGCCTGGTGACCTATGGGACGACGTGTCTAATTGTCGTTGTGGAGACAGGCTGAAGACTCTGGAGCAGAGAGCCAGAAAGCAGCATCAGAGATGTCTAGCACACTCCCTGGTTGGGACCCCAAATTACATTGCCCCGGAAGTGCTTCTCCGAAAAGGTAGGTGCCTCAGGCACTCACCTCAAGCATTCCACACTCCTGCTCATCTAGAGGCCATCTTAGCTCCAGAGTTGTGGAGCCAGAGGGCCTCTGAGTCTCTCCAGCCCCAGATTTCTAAGACCCTGAATATTTCCATTGTAACTGTGTACCCACGGAAGCACATGTCACTTCCTTTTTGAACTGCTCTCCCTGTGTGACAGAAGACATGCCCCTTTATGCTAGTCTTTGCTCATTCCTCCTTTGGGAAGTGAGAGACTGGGTGGAGATATGGACACAAGAGAATCACTGCAGAACTGGTTTGACAGTCATATGATAGAAATAACTCTGAGGGTCACAGGGACTCTTTTCAGTTGGTCTAAGCCAGACATTTCTAGACTCTAGCTGTAACTTTTAAAACTTTTTTTTCAATTACAGTTTACATTCAGTAATATTTTGTATTAATTTTAGGTGTGCAGTATAGTAGTTAGACAATCACATACTTTACAAAGTGGTCCCCTTGACATTTCAAGTATCTACCTGGCACTGTACAGAGTTATTACAATTTTTTAAAATATATATATATATTATATATATATATATATATATTTATATATATATATATATATATATATATTTTTTTTTTTTTTTTTTAATTTTTTACAGAAAGGAAGAGAGAGGGATAGAGAGTTAGAAACATCGATGAGAGCCGAAGCCGGTTTGGCTCAGTGGTAGAGCGTCGGTCTACGGACTGAAAGGTCCCAGGTTCGATTCCGGTCGATGTTTCTAGCTCTCTATCTCTCTCCCTTCCTCTCTGTAAAAAATCAATAAAATATATATTTTTTTAAAAATTAAAATAAAAAAAAAGAAACATCAATGAGAGAGAAACATCGATCAGCTGCCTCTTGCACACCCCCTACTGGGGATGTGCCCGCAACCAAGGTACATGCCCTTGACCAGAATCGAACCCGGGACCTTTCCGTCCCCAAGCCGACGCTCTATTCCACTGAGCCAAACCGGTTTCGGCAAGTTATTACAATTTTATTGACTATGTTTTCTATGCTGTACTTTATATCCCCAGGACTATTTTGTAATTTCCGATTTGTACTTCTCAATCCCTTCACCTTTTTGACTCACTTCCACAGCCCTTGGGTAACCCTCAGTCTATTCTCTGTATCTATGAGTATGTTTCTGTTTTATTTGTTTGTTTATATTGTTTTTTAGATTTCACATATAAGTGAAATGATAAGTTATTTGCCTTTCTCTGACATTTCACTTAGCATAATACCCTACAGGTTCACCCACGCTGAACATCGACGAGAGAGAAACATCGCCCAGCTGCCTCCTGCACATCCCCTACTGGGAATGTGCCCACAATCAATGTACATGCCCTTGACCGGAATTGAACCTGGGACCTTTCAGTCCGCAGACTGACAGTCTATCCACTGAGCCAAACTGGTTTTGGGCAGAATTTTAAGTTCTTAAAAGAATCTACAAACAGATACAAATTAAAATTACTAGTAATCACAAAACATGAAGTGTTAAGACCTGTGAACAAGTGTGTCCAGCAATCTTACCATTTGCTGTTGCAAATGGTAAGATTTCAGGTGTTTTTTTTTATGGCCAAGTAATATTCCATTGTATATATGTGCCCAAGTTTTTTGCCCAAGTTTCGAACTGGGTTGTACCATCTCCAGCTGGTTATTGAGTATGACAGAAGACAAATATTCTTTTCCTCCAGTTCTCTCTTCTATTCCAGAAGCACCGTTAAGGTCCGATTTGGGTACATTATTGTGCATAAAACTACAAGTGTTTAGTAAAATTGGTCCTGAATGGATGTTCTGTTCCATCAAATATGGTAGCTGACTGAACACCAAAGAAATCTTCCATTATTGACCTGAGTTTTTGCAATAAATCCAGGATTGGTGGCCTATCTCTTCACATGTGTTGTTTCAAGTCTTTGCAGCTACCCAGATCTGTTCAAGTCTGAGTTTTCTTTGTTCGCTGTGGTAATCCAAAGCAAGTTAATTAACCACTTAGAGCCACATTTATAGCAATAACCTTGCTGTCCAGTCACACTCTCTAAGTAGGAGGAAGGGTTGCTGGGCTGTGGGGGACAACATCCTCTCCAATATCCAGCATGTACACTCTTCAGGAACCAAGGGTAGAGTCTCTCTGCCATCCCCAGTGCCAGGTGGACAGGAAGGAGTGGGATGAGAGTACTGAGAAGTCTCAAGGAGCTAAACTGGCTGTACTGCCAGCAGGTCTTAGGTTTCAGTTCATACTTAGCAAGGATTAGGTAATGTAAGACTGGAACATAGATTGGACTGGGACATGAGGCTCTGGGGGGAAAATGGGAAAGAATCAGGGAAAAAAATGAACCTGTTCTGACTTCGTTGGGGCTTGCTCTGACTGAGCTTCAAGATGTCCTGCTTCAGCTCTGTTTTGGGAGCACTGTGAGGAATAACCTGGCTGGATAGTGCCTCACACAGAGATCCTATCTTCACTGACAGTTGTTTCCTTTGCCAAAGTACTCCCTTCTCCATATTCAACTTCCTCCAAACCTCCTAGGAAAGCCTTGCCAAAAAGCCCTCATGACAGGACACACTTGTTCACAGGTCTTAACACTTCTTGTTTTGTGATTACTACTAATTTTAATTTGTATCTGTTTGTAGATTCTTTTAAGAACTTAAAATTCTGCCCAAAACCAGTTTGGCTCAGTGGATAGACTGTCAGTCTGCGGACTGAAAGGTCCCAGGTTCGATTCCGGACAAGAGCATGTACATTGATTGTGGGCACATTCCCAGTAGGGGATGTGCAGGAGGCAGCTGGGCAATGTTTCTCTCTCGTCGATGTTTCTAGCTCTCTATCCCTCTCCCTTCCTCTCTGTGGAAAATCAATAAAAATATATTTAATAAAAAAAAAAGAACTTAAAATTCTGGTTACTATCACTAGTAAAAAAAAAAAAAAGCAGAAATCTTTTTTTGGTAGCATTTGTAAAGTTTCTTTTTTTTTTTTTAAATAAGTCTTTATTGTTCATATTATTACAAATGTTCCTCATTTTTTCTCCTCTATTGCTCCCCTCCACCAGGTTCCCACCCCACCCCTGCCCTTTCCCCACCCCCTGCCCTTTCCCCACCCCACATTGTCCTCATCCATAGGTGCACAGTTTATGTTCAGTCTCTTCCCACACCCCCCACTCCCCTTTTCCCCGAGAATCGTCAGTTCACTCCCCTTCCATACCTCTGATTCTATTATATTCACCAGTTAATATTGTTCATCAGGTTTTTTAATTCCCTTGGCCTTTAGTTTCACTTGTTGATAGTTACGTATTTGTTGATCATAATTTTTATCTTTATCTTCTTCCTCTTCCTAAAGAACTCCCTTCAGCAATTCATATAATTCTGGATTGGCGGTGATGAACTTCTTTAGTTTTTTTTTATTTGTGAAGCTCTTTATCTATCCTTCGATTCTGAGTGATAGCTTTGCTGGTTAGAATGTTTTTGGATGTAGGTTCTTGCTATTCATCACCTTGAATATTTCTTGCCATTCCCGTCTGGCCTGCATGGTTTCTGTTGAGAAATCAGCTGACAATCATATGGGTGCTCCTTTATAGGTAACTACCTGCTTTGCTCTTGCTGCTTTTAATATTCTCTCTTTGTCTTTTGCTCTTGGGATTTTAATTATGATGTGTCTTGGTGTGGTCCTCTTTGGATTCCTTTTGTTTGGGGTTCTGTGCGCTTCCTGGACTTGTAAGTCTAATTCTTTCACCAGGTGGGGGAAGTTTTCTGTCACTATTTCTTCCAATATGTTTTCGGTATCTTGCTTTCTCTCTTCTTCTGGGATCCCCCTAATTCTGATGTTGGTTCGCTTGAAGTTGTCCCAGAGGTTTCTTACACTGTCTTCAACTTTCTGGATTCTCTTGTCTTCTTGCTTCTGTGGAGGAGTGTCCTTCGGCTCTTTATGTTCCAAATCTTTGACTTGATTCTTGCAATCTTCCATTCTGTTTTTAGGACTCTGTATAGTACTTTTATTTCAGACAATGTATTCTTTATTTCTAGTTGATCCCTTTTTATACCCTCATAGGTCTCGTTTATTTTATCGGCCATTTTTAGGAAATTCTTGAAAAACCTTATAACCATGGTTTTGAACTCTGTATCCAGTTGCTTGTTGTCCTCCATTTCTTTTGTTTGTGATCTGTTTCCTTGTCTCGGCATTTTCACTGCTTTCCTGTGTTGGTAGGGTGGCTTTGTGCTAAGGTGTCCTATATGGTTCAGTGGGTCAGCCTCCCAGTTACCTGAAGTGGACACTCGTGGTGTACCCCTTTGTGAACTGTGTGTACAGCCTTATTGTAGTTAAGTTTTGATTGTTATTGGTATCACTGGGAGGAACTGACCTCCAGGCCAATTGGCTGTGAGGATCAGCTGTGTCTATGCCGGAAGACGGCCTTATTCAACTAGACTTGGAAAATTGCAAAGCCTCTGTGCTCAGCTTGGATGGGGCCGAGTTTCAGGGTGGAGTCTACAGCCTTAGCTTCCTCTCAGCCCCGCCCTCTGAGGTTCCTGAGTCTCAGTGTTCCTCACTGTCCTTGGGTACTTGATGCAAGCACCTCTGAGAGAAAATTTCGCCCACTACGAGACAGTCTAGTCTCTCCCCCAATGAGCCCAGAACTGGGGTTCAGTGCAGTTGGAAGTGGGGTTGGAAGTGGGGTTCAGAGCAGTCTGGAGCTTTTGTCTCCTTCCCGCTAGGGCAATCCAGCAGCACAGTCAACAGTTCGTCCTCTGCACGCATTCATGTGCATGCCTCTGGATCTCTGCCTTTCGCCGCTCCCCTGAGTTTCTGCCTTACAGCCCAGATTCACTTCATATAAGCCTGGGTCCCCAGGGTCTGGCCTAGAACTGGGGTTCAGTGCAGTCAGAACTGGGCTCAGCACTGTCTGGAGCTTTTGTCTCCTTCCCGCTAGGGCAGTCTAGCAGCAGAGTCAACAGTCCGTCCTCTGCAAGATTCACATGCGTGCCTCTGGGGCTCTGCCTTTCGTTGCTCCCCTGAGTTTCTGCCTTACAGCCTAGTTCCCTCTGTATGAGCCTGGGTCCCCAGGGTCTCGCCCAGAACTGGGGTTCAACACAGTCCGGAGCTTTTATCTCCTTCCCGCTAGGGAACGCCAGCCAGGCACTCAGCCGCCCCTTCCTCTTAGACTCCATCCTTTCCCCCCTCACACACCGTGTCTCTGTACCTTAGGCTTTTACAGCTCCTCTGATTTTCCTTTTGGTTTTCTCTTTCCTTCTCGTTGTAGAATTTCCAGTCAGTCAACTTTCCTATTGTTCTGGATAATGCCCATTTTGTATTTTAGTTGTATTTTTTGAAATTGTTGTGCGAGGCTGCAGTTAGGCGTTTACCTATGCCGCCATCTTGGTTTCTTCTAATTTTTTTTTAAGTTTTTTTAATTTACTGATTTGAGATAGAGATCCATCGATTAGTTGTTCTACTTCATTCTTGTGTTCATTGGGTGATTCCTGAATATACCCCAACTGGGGATCAAACCCCCATTCTTGGCATATTGGGACAATGCTCTAACCAACTATGCAGCCCAGCCAGCACAACAGTAATCTTTTTAAATTAAGGTATTTTCTTACTACAAAAGCATTCTGTGTTTACCACACACCAGAGACTGAAAATAAGAAAAAGGACAAGTCCTCCTCCCCACATGAAGACTGTTACCACCCCAGCATATGCTTTTCCCAGCCTATATTCTGAGCCACACATGCAAGGAGACTTGTTTTGTGTAGGGTGGTTTTCTTTTATGTAATGTGTGCTGCTTGAACATGTTTCCCCACGTGGCAGTAAAGTAATACTTGAGGATTTGTACAGTTCCTCTCCAAGAAGAGCACGTGTCCTTGCTGGAATTGAAAGTGGCCTTGTCTTTCTTTCAGGGTATACTCAGCTCTGTGACTGGTGGAGCGTTGGAGTGATTCTTTTCGAGATGCTGGTGGGGCAGCCACCCTTTCTGGCCCCCACTCCCACGGAAACCCAGCTGAAGGTAAGGAAGCAAAATACATTTGCTTGCTGCAGATACACTTGGTTTTTGGACCCTTTAGTCTGATTGGTGTAGGAATCTCAGTTGTACATAATGGTTTTTTTTAAGTATTCTTTACCTATTTTGAATTTTTTTTTCTGATTTCTTTTTTTAATTTTTTTTATCTTATTGATTTTGTACAGAGAGGAAGGGAGAGATAGAGAGTTAGAAACATCGATGAGAGAGAGTCAACGATCAGCTGCCTCTTGCACACCTCCTACTGGGGATGTGCCCGCAACCAAGGTACATGCACTTGACCGGAATCAAACTCGGGACCCTTCAGTCCCCAAGCCGACGCTCTATCCATTGAGCCAAACCGGTCTCGGCCTATTTTGAAAATTTTTATTATAATAAGTAAAGTCCCAGAGTTAGACTTGATTTTGTTTTGTTTTTTTATCCTCTTCTGAGGATGTTTATTGATTTTAGAGAAAGAGGAAGGAGGAGAGAGAGAAACATCAATGTGAGAGAAACATGGATCCATTGCCTCTCATACTTGCCTGATCTGGGATTGAACATGCAATATAAGTATTGAACCCACTACATATTGGTGTACAGGATGATGACACTAAGCAACTGAGCCCCCCGACTAGGGCTAGACCTGAATTGTGAAATATAGTATATATGTGTCTGAAATTTTGCTTGAACCACTTGGTCACCTGCCATCTTAGTATTTCCAGGTGAGAACAAAGAAGCAGTAAGGCATGGTCAGATCTAGTTTCCACTGCCACTGTGCCCCTGTGCAACAACAAAAAACATTACAAACTCTTCTCTTAAATAAGTCCACTTATTTGTTTGAGTGCTATATCATTATTTTTTGCAAATTATCAGCAATGAGATTAGGCTAAGTATGCATATTCCTAATGTTCACTTGATGTAACTAAATTAGTTTTAGAATGATGGCCATTTATTCTCTGACATAAATTATTTGATTACTTAAGAATGATTAAATTGAGAATCTGATGAAATCTTTGTAATTTCTCAGACAGTGCAGTTACCCATTGATGCAAGTTTACTAACAATTCTAGGAAGAATTCATGCCCTGTAGTTCATGACACACCCTAATTTAATAGTCTCTTAGTTAAAAGAACCCTAAATTAAATCTTGGTTTCAGACCAGTAAAAATAAATAAAATTGGAAGTTGGCATTATTTGTATCATTGAATAGCTACACCACTCACTAATTTGCCTGCATAATTATAACTCAGTTTCTATTGTAATAAAACTTACCATTTTAACTATTTTTAAGTGTGCAATACAGTGGCAATAAGTACATTCACAATGTTGTGCAACTGTCATCACTATCTATTTTCATCTTCCCAAACAGAAACTGTACCTATTAAACAATAATTCCCTATTCCCCCTCTCTCAACCCCTGAAACCTCTCTTCTGCTTTCTGTCTATAAAATTGACTTCTCTGAGTGCCTCAGATACTATGTGGAATCACACAATATTTGTCCTTTTCTGAATGGTTTATTTCCCTGAATATAATCCATTCAAAGGTCATCCATGTTGTCTCATTTAGAAGAATTTCCTTCCTTTTTAAGATAGAATAATATTTCATTGTACATTCAGAACACATTTTGTTTTTGTTTTTTTTACTTTTTTTTTTTAAATCAATCTTTATTGTTCATATTATTACAAAGGTTCCTCATTTCTTCCCCCTTCCACCAGGTTCCCATCCCACCCTCCGCCCCCTCCCCACCCCCCATTGTCCTCATCCATAGGTGCACAGTTTATGTTCAGTCTCTTCCTCCCTCCCTTCCCCCTCCCCCCAGAACAGTCAGCCCACTCCCCTCCCATATCACCGACTCTACTACAATGAACAGCTAATATTGTTCATCAGGTTTTTCAATCTCCTTTTATTGTTGTTGTTGTTGTTCTTGTTTTTAATTAATAAACTTTCACACTTCTAAGAATAAATTTTAAAATCTAATAATTTTAAACCTTGGTGTTTTTTTTTTTCTGCCCTGGACTTGAGAGCAAACTTGTTTACATGTAAACTTGCCCTTAGGCTATCAAAAGGTGTAGCCATTCAAGTGTAAATGGACACATTGTTTAAACTTAGCTGCTGGTTGGAATTGGATTACCTGTTCTGGGTGGGAAGGGTTTGTCATTCCCTTTCTCCATTAAAATTAAGGTGTTAGCTTTAAAACCTCATTTTGGCAAGAGACCTTAAACTTTCAGAACTTTAAATTTTTCAGATAGTAAATCAGTTACTTAGCCTTTTCTCAAAATAATAATACCTCCACATGCCCAAAGATACACTTCACACAAAAGACATTTCCAAATAGATCAATCAATCTCATCCAGGCCCCACACAAGGCACTCACAGATCAACACCCCAGCGCTATACTGATTTAACACATCCAGATCTAAGCCTTCCTCATTTGATTCAGCAGACCCCCAAGTTTTCCCAAAAGTTTCCAGCCATGTCTGAGAGGCAGGCTTGAGGCAGAGGCAGGCGAGGAGCGAGCTTTTCCGGGCCTGGCTGCTCCGGGCCTGGCCTCTGTTGCTCTGGTCTGTTCCACAACCAGCTGCTCCGGGTCTGGCCACTGCCACACCCGACCCGGCTGCTCTAGGCCTGGCCGCTCCGGCCCGGCCGCTCCGGGCCTAGCCACACCCGACCTGGCTGCTCCATGCATGGTTGCTGCTGTGCCTGGCTGCCCCCAACCCGGCTGCTCTGAGCCCAGCTGCCCCAGGCCCGGCCACTCTGAGCCTGGTAGCTCCCGGCCTGGATGCTCCGGGCTTGGCTACTGCTGTCCTGAGTCCCGACCCGGCTGCTCTGGGCCCAGCCACTCCGGGCCTGGGTGTTCCTGGACTGGCCACCCTGGGCTTGGCCGCCTCCGCCTCAGGCCTGGCTGCCACTGCCCCAGGTCTGGCTGCTCCAGGCCTGGCTGTTGCTGCTCTGATTCTGGCTGCTGCTGCTCTGGGGCCTGGCTGTTGCTGCTCCAGGCCCGGCTGCCACTGCCTTGTGCCTGGCCACTCTAGGCCTGGCCGCTGCCGTTCCAACATTCTGTCCTTTTTTTTTTTTTTTTTTTTTAAACGCATTTATGTTGCAATGTTGGCTTCTGAGTTGAGTTCTGACTTAATCTTCGATTTTTCAAGAACTTCTTTGTATTCTTTCTTAAGTAATTTTACTATCTTTTGCTCTCACTTGATTTCTTCACATTGAAAACTTCTTCGGTTTCTTCTTCCTTGTCCTGGAAGCTCAGCAGGTTGGCCTGTGGCACCCCTTTGTTCTCCGTGGTCTCCTGTGCTCCTTCAGCCTGTTGCCGGGGTCGGCGCCGCCCAGGAAGCAGCCCTCGGCCTCGGCTCCATGGCCCGAGCTCAGCGATTGAACCCCCCCCCACCCCCCCGGGGGCCCCGTTGCCCGGTTCCTTGCTGGCGCCTGGCTGGCCGGTGTCCGGCAGGGGCTCCTGCTCCTCGTCGCGTTCCTCCAGTCTGGAGCTTTTTTTTCTCCTTCCCGCTAGAGGTGTCTAGCATCAGAGTCAACAGACTGTCCTCTGCGCGCAATGTGCGCGACTCTGGGGGCTCACTTTTCACCGCTTACCCAGGACTTCACCTCACAGCCCCGTCTCCCTCTGCCTGAGCCTGGGTCCCTAGGGATTGGCCTAGAACTGGGGTTCAGAGCAGTCGGGAGTGGGACTCAGCACTGCCGGAGCTCTTGTTTCCTTCCCTCTAGGGCAATCCCGCATCAGAGTCAACATTCCTTCCCTTGCGCGCAATGTGCGCGACTCCGGGGGCTCCGCTTTTTGCCACTCACCTGAGATTCCGCCTCACAGCCCCGTCTCCCCCTGCCCAAGCCTGGGTCCCCAGGGTCTGGCCCATAACTGGGGCTCAGCGCTGTGGTTCTGGGGTTCAGCCCAGGCCGGGGTTTTTATTTCCTTCCTGCTAGGGAATGCCAGGCAGGCACCCAGCCTTCTCCTCCTCTCCGGCTGCGTCCTCTCTGCGCACGCGCGTGCGTGTCTCCATACCTTAGGATTTTCCAGCTCCTCTGATTTTCCTTCTGGTTTTCTCTTTCCTTCTTGTTGTAGAATTTTCAGTCAGTCGACTACCTGTATGTAGCTCTGGGCAATGTCCACTCTACATTTTAGTTGTATTCCATTGAAATTGTTGTGTGCTGCTGCGGTTAGGTGTCTACCTGCGCAGCCATCTTGGATCCTCTCCAGAACACATTTTGTTTATACATCATCTAGCAGTGCACACTTATTTGGTTATTAGGTTATTATGAATAATGATGCTATGAACTTGAGTGTCTATATAAGAATTTGCTTGAGTCCTGCTTTCAATTTTTGTGACCATATATCCATAAGTGGTATTGCTGGGTCATATGGGTAGTTCTGTTTAACTTTTTCAGTTTTCCATAGTGGCTGCACCATTTCATATTCCCACCAGTGCATGTGGGTTCCATTTTCTCCACACCAACACTTTTTCCTCTCCCTCCCCTGCTTTTTTATTTATTTATTTTTATTTATTTATTTATTTTATAGTAGCCATCCTAATGGTGGCTTCCCTTCATTCTAGTGAAGTGATACCTCACTGTGGTTTTGATTTATATTTCCCTAATGATTGGTGATATTGAGGCTCTTTATGTGCTTATTGAACATTTGTATGTCTTCTTTGGAGAAATGTCTATTCAAGTCCTTGGCCCTTTTTTATCGGGTTATTTGTTTTGTTGTTGAGTTGTAGAAATTCTTTATATATATTTTGGGTATTAACTCCTTATAAGATACTTGTTTTGCAAATAGTCTTCCATTCTGTAGGTTGCCTCTTCATTATGTCAGCAGTGTCCTTGATGAACAAAAGTTTTAAAATTTTTATGAAATCCAATTAATATATTTTCTGTTGTTGCCTGTGTTTTGGTGTCATACCCAAGAAATCATTGCCAAATCCAATGTCATGATGATTTTCCCCTATGTTTTTTTTCTAGTTTTAGCTCTATTAAACCCACTCAGGTTCAAACCAACCCTATCACCCACACAGCCACCTGCCTATACACTTCACCTGATGCTCAGTCAGCCATGCAATAGACAGTTATGTGTGCCTTGTTTTATCCTGATTTGAAGTATGAATAATAAAGTCTCTTAGCTCTTCTCCTCATTATAGACACATCTCTATGACAAGTCTATTTACTGAGCATTTAGATGGCTGGTGTGTGTGGTTGACCATCAGAATAAGAGACCACGGCCACAGGGTAGGTCAGTTTTATTCTCCATGAGGTTGCTTTTTATTTTTTAAATATATATATATATATATATATATATATATATATATATATATATATATTTATTTATTTCAGAGAGGAAGGGAGAGGGAGAGAGAGAAAAACATCATTGATGAGAGAGAATCATTAATCATTGGCCTCTGCACACCCCATACTGAGGATTGAGCCCACAACCTGGGCATGTACCCTGACAGGGAATTGATCTCCTGGTTCATGGGTCATGCTCAACCGCTGAGCTCCACCAGCTGGGCGAGGCTGCTTTTTAAATTACAAAAACCTAGCAGACCATCTCGTGGCTATAATAAGTATTGAGTGAGAACCATGCTGGTTCAACAGAAATCTATTGCCAGAACTAAAGAAATAACTCAGAAAGGACCAGTTTCTTCATTTTTGTGGAAAGCACAAAATTCTTTTGCTAACCAGTCTTTCTGATAGAAGAAAATTAGTCTTATCTTGGTCTGTATTTGGCTTCAGCATCCATGCCTCAGGCTGTTTGCCCCACACTAGAACACTGACTATTTCAGTAGCTGCTCAGATCCACAACTGGGCTTTCTGAGTCTATCCTGACTTTTCTTCCATCATGAAACTAAAATTATTTAAAAACCACATCATTATATATTGTCCTGGAACTGCCCATATAAGCTTTGAGATGTTGGGAGAAACTAAAACTTTGGTTCTATTGTTTCTTGAGGTGATAAACTGGGAGAACACGCTCCACATTCCAGCCCAGGTCAAGCTGAGCCCTGAGGCCCGGGACCTCATCATTAAACTGTGTTGTGCTGCTGACCACCGGCTGGGGAGGAACGGTGCTGACGACCTGAAGGCCCACCCATTCTTCGTCACCATTGATTTCTCCAGAGACATTCGGAAGCAGCCAGCCCCCTACATTCCCAAGATCAGCCACCCCATGGACACCTCAAATTTTGACCCCGTAGATGAAGAAAGCCCTTGGAACAATGCTAGTGAAGACAGCACCAAGGCCTGGGACACACTCACCTTCCCAAATAACAAGCACCCTGAGCATGCGTTTTATGAATTTACCTTTCGAAGGTTCTTTGATGACAATGGCTACCCTTTCAGGTGCCCAAAGCCTTCAGGAGCAGAGGAGTTACAGGCTGAGAACTCCAATTTGGAAAATTCCAATCTGGTGGATCAGACAGAAGGTTGCCAACCAGTGTACGTGTAGACAGACTTGGCACTGACACTCAGGTGCCCATGCTGTTTCCTTAAAACACCTGATGAAAGTTCAGGGCAGCTTTGTCAGTTAACTCATTGAGTACTTCACTTGAAATTCTGGTCTTCACTAAAAAACCCAAAACAAAAATGCTTTTTAAAAAGGATTCAAGTATAGCATACCTTCATTTCTAGATTCTGGTTGATAAGGGGGGTGGTTGTTAACATGGCTTTGAATTGGCTTTTGAGGATCTTCACTGCATTGAAACAATTTTTTTAAAATTTAGTACAGTTTAAAAGAGCACTTATTTTGTTTATAATCGTTTTTATTACTAAGTTATAAGGATTAACTCTGACAAATTATGCTGCTGTCATTTTATATATTTGTATTTTATCTACAGCACTTACATTTAGGAAAAGAAATAACTGAAGAACATGTGATAAGAAATCTCTGTGCAATAACTTAAAGAAAGATGACACTGTTTTGATGTTACTGTTGCCATTTTATTCACACAATGGTTTTGGTTTTATATTTTTTCCTGCATTTCAAAATTGTGATATGTTAAAAGCTGCTTTATTTTATTATTATTTTTTTTTCTTTTTGCATATTATAGTGTCATAGACATTGTGAGCAAGTTTGATTCCATTGGTGTGATTCCTGATGTCTGGTGTGTAGAGAACGTTGCATGAGCTGGATCTTTTATTATAAGTGACCATGTCTTGCCATTCACAGCGGGTTCTGTGAAAGTGTTTTTATACAGTATCTATAAATGAAACATTGTAGACAGTGTGCGATGACATGTTCTGTGGGTGGCTTTGCTGTGATTATATCTCTATTTTGTTAAAGAAATGCAGGTGTGTAACTGAGAAGACTCTGTGTGTCTTGGGTATGGCTGGATTCTTTGGAGGCTAAACTTAAGCATCTGTCAAATACTGAACTTGTGATTAATTTAGCTATGCCAAAAAGTGGAACTCTGTTTTGCCAGTCAGTCCACTCTCTTGTTCTTAGTGTGTAGCTGATGTATGGAATCTAACAGCTGCAACCCTGATGCCATCAGATGGGTCCTACCAAGAGGTCTGCCTGATGCCATTTCATCCCGCTGTCTGAGACAGCTTCAGTTTTACCATAGTGAAATTTAGTAACCTTGGCATTCTTTCACTTATTTCTATTGCGTTTTGAGGTGTCAATCTTAACTTTGTTTTAAAAAATACATTTTCCTCATCTTTGTAAAACAGCAAGGATTATTTAAAGTAACATTGGAATAAAAAAAAAATTAAGCCATACAATTTTCTTAGATGTGTAGATGCATATATATATGTATATCGATATATGTGTGTGTGTGTGTGTGTGTGTGTGTATGTATATCTACATAGATAAACATACAAATATTTCTTATTTCAGATTAGTATAATTCCTATTTAAAGTGATATGTATTTGAGTAAAAAGTTCAGTTCTTTTTTGCTTTTTAAGAATCTGATGCATCATATTTTCATTATGTTCCACATATTTTTCCTTGATGCTTCTAGCACAATATACTCATTATTTAGTATATATCTAGGTGGCAACACTTACAATTTTATCAATGTCTAAAAAGAAGGTTCCTGTGTACTGGTTTACATTTTGAATGAATGGCAAACCGACATCTACTGTGCTTGTACCATGACTGTCAGTATTTCCGTGACTTTGCAGTAATACCGTGTTGTTATTTACAGCACTCTGACACATTTTTATGTTATAGATTCTTTCTCAGGAACTCAGTTTATTATTTATTGATATATCATTGCCTTTGAAAAGCTTCTACTTGGCACAATTTATTATTAAAATTTTGAATATAAACTCCTTGGTGAGTGTCATGTGTTATTGGAATTTGTAAGTTCTTGCATTTATCAGTGTCATATGAGACTGTTAAAGTTAGTTTTTTGTATATCATTAGAGAAATGAAACTTTGTACATATGCAGCCCAAGAAAATATGTACCTGTATTTTCCGGCATATAAGACGACCCCCTAATTTTACAGTTAAAACACAGGTTTAGGCCTATATTCGCTGTATAAGACTGCCCCCCACTTCAAAGAAAAGACTTACTTTGCCGTCAAGATCTGCAAGTAATTTTTGTGCAATTTTGGTCTTTTGCCCCCGATTTTCGGTTGACTTTTTTTCATTTCAAAAGTCATCTTATACGCCGGAAAATACAGTATATACTTTTTTGACTCTTTTACACAAATGGGAGAATCATACATATTTTCCTGCATCTGTTTGCTTGGCAATTTATACCAGCACGTGAAGAAATTCTTCACCCTCTATTATTACTTTGTAATAGTCAATTATGAGGGTCTATTATAATAATACCAGTCCTATATCAATGAACATTTCACTTTTTCTGGTCTTTAACTATTACAAACCATGTTGGATTAAATAACCCCTTATAGCCATCATATTGTGTACATACAAGTAAATATGTAGGATAGATTTCTAGAGGTGGAATTACTAGGTCAAAAGTTAAGTGTAGGTGTGATTTTTATTGCGAAGCAGTCCTGAACATTAGTGGGAGGAACCCCTCCAGATCATCTCCTAGACAACCTGCCAATTAGCTAAGAATGGTCTTTTACCTGTTTTTGAGTGGAACATTTCTTAGAGTCAAGTTTGCAGTGAGCAACTTTAGGGCTAAAGTAATAATGTGTCCTTCCAGGACCAAAAATAAGCTTTCTACTGCTTGCTATAAAGGGGGTAGCTTCCTCAAGCTCAGGGAGCCTCAGCAGAATCCATCTGGGCCTCCTATGCTTCCCCAGGGACTTGAGGCCAGGAAGAGCTTGTGCAAGCATACTGGTGTTCATGCAGTTTCATGTGCTGTGCATAACAAAGTCCTTTATATTCGACCTATGATCCATTAAAGAGTAAACAGCTCACTTATTAGCTTGTAAGTAGGATAAAATCAAATCTTAGACCTAGTATTATCTAAAAATCTTACAAAACGTATTGTTCAATATACATTCCAATAGAAATATACAGATAATTCACTTAGAGCCTTGCCAGCCACACAATGTACTAACCTTTATGATTTTTGTCCATTGACTAGATTAAACACACAAACACACACACAAACTTAATGTACTTTTACTTGACATTCTTCTTATTTTGAAAGAAGTTGATATCCATTTGAATATCCTTGAAAATTATAATCCTGAGAGGAGAAAATGCTAGGATAAACAGACATATTCCGAGCCTTGTCTCAGAGCAGAAAGAAGGAGCAGCTGAGGGTCACAGGGGGAGTGTTTGTTGGCTAAGGGACAGCTAAGCTCCAGGAGAAGGTGGGGTCTGCTGGAAGTGGTTCCCTGGACCTGGCAGCACCCACTGGGGCTGTGGCTTTGTCCCCTCCTGGAGCCTCAGGCTCAGAAGGCGAAACCTCGCCATCTTGAAAGGGAAAGGGAATCTTATCCAACGCCTGAAAATCCACAACTGCAGCAACCACTGAACAGCTGGGAAGCCCAGAATTCAGGTCCCTAATTGGCGTAAACACACGGATTCAAAGGAGCACTTTGCTCCACCATGGAAAAGTCAGATTTAGACGGGGAAAAGGAGAGAGAACTGCATAAACAGGCATCCAGAGAAGAGGTACCCTGGGGAGGCAACACGCATATGAAAGAAAAGCAGGCATCAGCAGAAAAGTGAACAAATTAGAGGCAAGAAACCTATCAAGAAATTTAAAGAAATGGTCATAAGATGGCTGAAAAGAATGAAAGACAAATTGAACAATCTGAGTAAGAACCGAGAGGAAATGAAGAACCAAGAAGAAATGAAAAATGGCATTGCTGCTGTAAAGAACTCATTAGCATCAAGAGTAGACTAGAAGCAGAGGACCGCATCAGTGAGCTGGAGGACAAGATGGAAAAAATACCCAAGTAAAGCAGCTTCTAGAAACAAAAATTAAAAAGCAGGTGGAGAGCCTAAGGGAACTTTAGGACAACACAAAACAAAACAACATCTGCATAGTAGGGTTTCCAGAAGGAAAGGAAACTGAGCAAGGAATAGAAAACCTGTTTGAAGAAATAATGACAGAAAAACTTTCCTGATATAAGGAAGAAAAAACCCACACAACTCTAAGAAGTTCACAGAATCCCAAGAAAAATGAACCCCAAAAGACAGACACCAAGCCACATTATAATTAAATTGGCAAACACCAACAAAGTAAGAATCTTAAAAGCAGAGAGACAGACACAGAAAATTACATGCAAAGGAGCCCCCATCAGACTAGCAACTGATTTCTCAACAGAAACTTATCAGGCCAGAAGAGAATCGAATGAAATATACAAAGTCATGCAAAGGAAGGGTCTCTGAGTCCAAGAATACTGTACCTAGCAAGGCTATCAATCAAAATTAAAGGCAAAATCATGAGCTTCACAGACAAAAAAAAAGGACTAAGGGAATTTATCACCACCAAACCAGCAATGCAAGAAATGCTTAAAGGTCTGATGTTAAAAAAAAAAAAAAAAAAGAAAGAAAGATAGGAAGCAAAGAAGGAACACAGGTATAGAATAAAAATGGCGACAAATAAGTACCTGTCAATAATAACTTTACATGTCAATGGATTAAATTCCCCAATCAAAAGACATAGGGTAACAAATTAGATAAGTAAAAAAGACCCATATATCTGCTGTTTACAAGAAACCCACCTCAGAAAAAAAGAAATACACAGACAGAGGGTGAAGGGATGGAAAAAGGTGTTCCAGGCTAATGGAAATGGGAAAAAAAAACAAAAACAAACAAAACTGGGGTAGCAATACTTATATCTGACAAATTAGATCTCAAAGTGAAAGACATAACAAAAGATATGGAAGGCCACTTCATAATACTAAATGGAGCAACTCAACAAAAAGAAATAACTCTGGTAAGCATATACACACCTAATACAGGAGCACCCAAATACATTAAAAAAAAAAAAAAAAAAAAAGGATATCAAGGGAGAGATTGACAGCAATACAATGATGGCAGGAGACTTTGATACCCCATTATCAC